ACACAGGGAAAATTTATCTCTTTCCGCCCCAGGTAAATTCTGTTATCCACCTGTAATCCCCAGACTCTGGGAGGTTGAGGTAGGAGGATTACAAGGCTAAGCCAAGCCTGGGTGAAAGAAAGAAAAAAAGAAAAAAGGGCTGGGGATATAGCTCACTGTGAAGGCCTTGGGTTCAATCCCCAGTACTGGAGGAAAAAATCTGTTACCACAACTATTACTATCAAAATGTATACATAACCAAAATATGTCAGCTCTAGTCCAATGGAACACTTATGAAGCATGTGCTGGGACTTAATTTGAACATAAATTTCTATCCATGCACTGTCACAGAGTCTTTAGATGTTGGTGACCATTCTAGCAGCAATAGGTGTAACAGGTATTACTAAGTTTCACTGCATACAGGTCTGGAATCACTTCCACATCATTCACTGACAGGAGACTATGTATATTCATTAGGGTTTTCCAGAGAAACAGAACCAATAGGAGATATATATATATACATCTAGGAAATATATCTATATATCTAGGAAATATATCTATATATAACTAGGAAATATATATATATATATATATATATATATATATATGGAGAGATTTATTTTAAGGAATTGGCTTGTGTGGTTGTGGAAGCTTGGTGAGTCAAAAATCTAATACGGAAAGCTAGCAAGCTGCAAACTCAGAAGAGTTATAAATCAAGCCCAAAGATAATCTGCCAGAGAATTCTCTCTTGTTCTGCTTGAAGTTGGCCTTTTGTTCCATTTAAGTCTTCAACTGATTGGAGGGGGCCTTCCAACATTACGAAGGGCAATCTTCTTTACTCAAAGTTCACATATTTAAATGTAAACTTCATCCAAAAATACCTTTAAGGAAACATTTTAGAATAAATGTTTGATCAAAGATTTGGGTACCATAGCCCAACCAACTTGACACATGAAATTAACCATCACTCGGTCACCAAAGGGCTATGTCCTGCAAAAGTTAACCTTGGTTAATCCTGCTTCTCTTCCCACACCTCACCCCTCTTTATCCTGGATCCTACTATTTCTGTCTCATTGTATTATCATTTTCTCTTCCCACCTTTCAGGCACATTTCTGCAGACCAGCTTAAGACCACGCTGGCCAGACTTTAAATATTATTGAATTGGCTTATAACTTAGCTATTGATTAAAACTATGAGTCAATTTAACATTTACGTATGACTTGCTAAAAAAGCCTTCAGCTGGCATATGGAAACAGAATTTCCTACGCTAACAGTCACAGTTGAGATAGTAAAATGACACTACAGCTGAAGAATTATGACTCTGTGCAGCCATTCTCCCAGATCAAACATTAGCTAAAGATAATACAGGTGGAGTGGCTTGTTAGCTATGACCTGTAATATAACCCAGGTGTCTTGTTAACTATGACCTGTCCTTCATAAGAATACATTGTTCCTCCCTTTGCCAAGTGTGGGTTGTTAGTGCCTTAATTGTTGCTGTTCTTTATATGTACTTTTACTCTCCTTGCTATGTTGTATAATCAATGAATACTGACAAGACCAGAGATCATGGTCTTAGCCAAGAAAAACTCCGATCACGTACTCTTAGCAAGAAAGAGCTAAGATCAAATCCTGGTCCCCCAGTAATAAACTATCGTTTGTTCTTTATTCATTATTCTTTGTCGATTATTCTTTTATCCTCTGCTATACCCTCAATCAGGAGGTCAGACATCCTCTGATATATTCCCTCTCTGACCCTATACCTATTCAAACCTCTTGTTCCCCTAAAAGCCCTCCAGCCTTTAGAAAATGATGTTAGTCATTTATACTGTAGGATAAATTTAAATCATTCTGTTTACTTACCTATCTCCTCACTGTAAACCAAATACTGTAAACACACACACACACACACACACACACACACAAAAGATTTCAGAGACCAATAAAAAGCTGAGGGAGGCATTTTGTTTGTTTTGAGGAAGGAAAAGAGACTAACATGGAGATCAAAACAAAAGGGGTCAACCAGATTTTGCATAAGACTGGAATGAGGTAAATTCCAGGACACTAGAAAACTAATGGGTGGTCTTTTCAGGGTATCATCATTGCAATAAATGAACTCTGGCTATTTTTGTCTTTGTTCCTCAGGATAGTCAAGACTGCAGTTGTTTGGAAGATAGCATCTGATTGAACCAGGAAAGGGCTAGATACCTTGGCTGACAATACTTCTGACCCTGCATGACTAGGGGAGCTGTTAACAGAAAAGTGCAGAGCTACTGAGAATTTAGCTCAGTGGTTCCGCTGCCTGCCTCAAAAGTGCAAGGTCCTGAGTTCGATCACCAAAAAAAAAAAACAGTGCTGAGTGGACTGGGAGCAGGAAAAATATTGGTTCCCTGTTGACGACTGCTGTAAGGGTTGTTGATAAAGTGATGCAGAATTAGCTCTACTCTGTTTCTAAGATGACCTTGAATCTCAGCAAGGCACAGATGGGCTGCAAAGACACAAGAACAATCTGGAATGAGGTGTCAAGAGTCCTTCCCCTTCTGGATGCTAAGCACTTTAAGGAAAAGAGAAATTTGCCCGAAATTTCTTTGGTAGACCCTACAGGTCTGTACACATGATTCTATTTATTATCACTTTGGGAAAATACATAAAGCTTCTTATCATGAATACATATGTGCATAAGCTGACACAGTGGAATCCCTACAGCAGAACTATCCTTCCAGATCGTAAATATTCCTCCTTGTTGGGGAGATTGAAAACATTTCCACTTGCAGTCTACTTAGTAGAATAAGAAAAGTCAGTGGTTAAATAAACACATCTACCTCGTTTCCCAACCTTGAAAGCAAGGTCAGTCATCAGCCTGAGAGGCAATGTTATCTTCTAGATTTGGTAATTATTTGGGTAAAATCTCTTTGCTTTATAGATTTAAATTCAAAGTACCAAAAAAGTAAGATGCTATGATTAAGCTTATGTAATTATACCTTTCAACTTTCCAATATGGAAACGAGGGCTTAGAAAGGGGAAAGGCCATGGTAGGCGAGTACCAGATAGTCTGAGTCCCTATTCCCTTCTATTGTTTTTACATAGCTTTTGCAAGTTAATAGATCAGAATTTACTGGTTTCTTATCGTTTCTCTTTTTTTTTTCCTTTGGTACCAGGGATTGAACTCGGGACCTTGCGCTTGCAAGGCAGGCAGCGGAACCACTGGGCTAAATCCCCAGCCCTCTTATCCATCCATAATTTAGTAAACATCTGAGCTGTTCAACAAAGTCTAGTTCTCAGGTTTAAGTGTGAGGGTTTACAAAACTGGCTCTTCTGTCTCTTACTAGTTTTCTCTTTCTGATGGTGACTGGGGATTGAACACAAGGCCTTGTGTATGCTAGACAAGTGCTCTACCAGTGAGCTATATCCCTAGCCCTTTTTGAGACAGGCTCTTGCTTAGTTGCCCAGGCTGGCCTGTAACTTGCCATTTTGCTTCCTCAGCCTCTTGAATAGTTAGGATCCCAGGGGTGCACGCCGTCACACCAGGCTCAATTATAAATCACTAAACATGCCTGCCTCTCCTAATTATTTCCTTCCTTTCCTTATGTTGGAAAAAAATGATTTTTCTACTTAACTATGAGAAATGAAAAATAAATTCTGTTGTCTTTACTGTTTTGCACAAATATATAGAGAAATACAAAGTAGCTGGGAAATATGGGCATCAGAAAACAAAGTCGGTAGAATCTTTTTACTTGTAGTGTGCTTAAACTTAGTTCTGAGATTCCAGTGAAAAAATGGTATAGCGAGAATGAGGTAGGAGAGAAGAAATAAAAACTATGTAAAAAGGAGACAAGAAAATCAAGATTTTAAAATTGTACTCACCTGCAGCTTCAAGAAACAAAACTCATTTTTAAAAAATTCCTAAAGGTCTTAAACACACAAGCCTGAAAATCCATGCTCCTGGATCTGTCCTTTTCTCCTGTGAATTGTGCTTCCTCCACCACCAAGGAAACAACAATATCAGTGGGCAGCATATCTCAACTTCAAAAACATGTAGAAGGCTTGCATTCTGACATAATCTGCCAGATGGATAACCTACCTGACAGATATTAGGAATATATATCCTAGATCACTCATCTTGAAGACACCACATCCCCTTAAATATACTCAGCTCCAGCTCATAAAGCTCTCATTTCTCTGAGTGCCGGCACTCTACTTTTGAGTGCGTCCTAAAATCGCTAAGAAACCCTTGTCTGGTCTTTTACAGATGCATCCTGAAAACTTTGTTTTTTTGCGACAGGAGTGGATGGGTTCCTTATTTCAGCGCTGCGGATCCTCCAACCTAGCCCAGTGACTGGAAGGCAACATCAAGGTCAAAAAAGAATGACCGGCCTATTTTATTTACCATACACTCTAGAATGAAATAACACCGGGAAATGAAAAGATTATTCCAAATTTCAAGATCTTTATAAAGAGATTTAATCACAGTTAACATAAAAGTAATCACAAACATTTTCAAATTCTGAGGAAAACACAGTAATGTCAAATTTGAAGAAAATATTGTTTTCTGGGCTATACGTGAGCTAAAACAAAGTCAACGTTGTTTCCAGAAATTAGGACAAATACACCTACAAAGAAAAGCGTGGATTCATGCAGAATTTGAACTCAAAACTCAGAACCTGAATTATTCACTGCGCACTAACTTTACCTGGGCTAAGACCTGTATTGGAGCTGGGGTCTCTCAGGATATTCACATTTAAATGGGTCTGAAAGCGTAAAGCTAAACAGTCATTAAAGGACAAACTGCAGCTGCAAAGAGGTACGTGATTAAAAGCACCATTAACCTTGTTACAAATTCTCAGCAAATGGGCAATATGTTGAGCTCGGCAAAGGAAACTCAGCCCGGGGGCCTGCAGGTCCCACCCAAAATGGCGCCTCTGTACCCGTGCGCGCCCTGCAGGAGAGGTGTCGGGGCCGCGGCCCGGAGCGCGCTTGGCCTCCCGGCGGCTGCGCGCCTGCGCGAGGGAGGGGGTGGCTGGGAGGGAGGGAGCGCACGCGGCGGGGGCGGGATCTGCAGAGTGCTGAGCTGCAGCAGCCGAGCCGGACGTGTCCGCGAAGATGGCGGGCCGGGTGAGTGCCGGCTGGGGAGCCCAGGCTCCAGGGTACTCTGAGGACCTGGCAGCCCCGAGGACGGGGAGCGAGGCTGAGCAATGGGGTGCTGGAGGGGCGGGAGGCTGAGCAGGGCTTGAGGCGAGAAGGGGGAGCAGTGGTAGATTAACCCTTCTCAGAAACTCCATCCCCCTCGAGGGTGATTCCTCGTCACCCGCGTCTCCAGCGTTTACCTTAATCCTTCCGTGCCGCCTCTGGAGTTCGTTTCCCTAGTTCTCCAGGCAGCCGCGGGGTCCTGGGTGCCAGTCGCTTCTGACGGGCTCTGGGGGTTTCTCCGCACGCCCTCGGAGGGCTAATTCGATGGTGCCGCCGGAATAAGTCTCCGAAGTCCGTCTGCTCCATTCCGGGCCGGGGCTGTGGGAAGGATCCTCAGGACTCCATTTCTGGTTTTTTATAAATGAAGGGTCTTGTAAAAAAGAGCAAGGGGTGCAAACGGCTTTTAGGGTTAATCTCTGACCATCTGCGGGAATCTGTCAACTGTTGAGTTAGGCAGGAATGGCTTTAGCTTGGGGTGAAGATGAATTTGAGCTGTCGCGTTTTGCTTTATAAATGACAGTTGCTTCGAATGCAGGAGAATATGCTGTAGTTTTAGGGTTTTAAATTTTACTTCCTCCTTTAGCTTCTAGGATCGCGGTGTAGAATGGGTTTGGTGAGGAGAGATAGGGCTGGTTCAGTGTTGTATTGCAGTGAAAGCTCTGAGGCATGGACCCTTCCAAGAGATTATTACATTGGTTGCAAACCTGAGGACATTAACTGCGTCATTAGGGGTTAAGAATATGCTTGACTGATTCATTTTTATTAGAATATTTGAATAAATTTGCATTAACTTACACACATATATACATACACACACATACACCCATATTTATATATATATACATACACACACATACACCCATATATATATATATATATATATATAAATATATAAATGTCCTGTTTAAAGGGAATTGTAGGTCAGGAGATTCTGGTGTCAGAAAAGACCTTAAGAGTCATCTAGTTGGACCTTTTTCTCTTTTCCCCATCCCTACCCTTTTTTAGCTAAGGCTGGTCCCTTCACTTATACTTTGGATACTGATTTTTGCCTCCTCAGGAATCCCTTTCCTCAATAATCACTTGCTCCTTAATGTACTCAGGCTTCTACCTTAAAACAAACCCTCCCTCCACTCCCACACCTTTCACCTTTTCTCATTTACAGCCAGAAAATCTGATAGAATTTTCTGTTTTTGTTGTTTCCAATTTACCACCTACTCATTCCTTAGCCCACTGCAATCTGATTTCTGGCTCTGTCATCCCACTGAAATGTGTCCCTCAGTTTATATTTTTCAGTCCTTGTGTTTGATGTCTTAGCAGCATTTGACATTGTTGACCATCTCTCCTTATGGAGAGTTTTCCCGTGGCTTCTGTGATGCTCTGCACCTATTTTGACTCATACTTCTCTTTTGCAGACTCACTCTGCTCTATTCTGTTATTCAGTGCTGTTATTCTTGAAAGGTCCTTTTCTCACACCCTATCTTTTCTTCAGACAATCCCTTCTAAACCCATAGCTACAACTATCTATATGCCAATGATTGTCAAAATTTTATTCCCAGTACAGACCTAACAAACTAATATGTCAGAATGTCAGAATTAATATGTTAGAAACCAAGGCTACTCAATTCATCTTGTTCCAATCCAAACCCATGATCTTAGCTCACCTAATTGGTACTTCTCCTTTTTCCAATTTTACTGAATAAAACTACCATCCATCCTGTTATATAAGCTGGAAACTTGGGTGGGGGGAAGGAGAATGGGTCACCTTTTATACCTACTCTCTCATCACATCCTCTAACTCCCTCCCCTCCATCTCTGGGTAAAATTCATTGCTAAGTTGTCTGCTGGCCTCCCACACACCAAAACAGTTTATAAGGTCAAAGAATCAGGGTTGGGAGCATTGTTGCTTTAAACCGTACCCAAATAACCAAAATCACCCACTAGACCAGTCACTTCTTTTTTTTTTTTTTTTTTTGTCATTTTAACCTGTTAAAAATATCTCCAGCCCATTCTACCTCTTCATTTCCACCTCTTTTTCCTAAGCTACCATCCTTTCTGGTCTGGACCGCTGCAGGAAGCTCCCAGGTAGTTTACTTTTGACATTCTAGCCCACTTTCAATCCATTCTCCACATTTATCATTCTTTCCCATGCCCATTGGTGCTTAAGCCCCTCCTCAGTAACATCCCATTACTTTTGGGAGAAGATCAAATACTTAACAAGGCTTTCAAGGCTTTTTGTGGTTTTGCCCCTTGTTTCTCTCCACTCACTCCCTATCTGTGCTCAGCTTACATAAGCCTTTCAATTCTCTGAACCTACTACAGTAGTTTCTTTACCACAAGGTCTTTGCATGTGCTTTTTCCTTCCTTTGTAATGTTCTGCCCCCGACTATTTACCTTCTAGGAGGATCACTCAGTCACTCAAGGGAAGCCTGTTCTGACCTCACATTTTAAGCTAGGACACTTTGTTATACATGCTTGAAAAACTATATTCCTATCTTAAAGATTTATCTTTTTTCATTTAAAATGTTTTTGTGTTATTTGGCTTGGCCAGTAGACTTAACCTTCCATGAAAGCAGAGACCACGCTGGTTATCAAAAATTATTATCTGGGCTGGGGATTTAGCTCAGTGATTCCGCCGCCTGCCTCACAAATGCAAGGCCCCAAGTTCGATCCCCAGTAGCAAAAACGAACAAAAAAACAATTATTATAATCTGTGTTTTGCACACTTCCTGGGACCTAGGCACTCAATACATAAGTTTTGTTTTGTGTTCGAGGGTTTGTTTTTTTTTCTTGAGACAGGGTCTCACTATGTAGTTCAGGCTAGCCTTGAACTCACTATGCAGCCCAGGCTGGCCTTGAACTCGAGGTGATTCTCCTGCCTCAGCCTCCTGAATGCTGGGATTACAGGCATGGTTGTTTTGTGTTTGAGAAGGGGCTCAAACGATCCTCCTACTTTGGTCTCCCACATAGCTGGGCCTATAGGTGCATGCCACCATGCTTGGCTTCTCAGGTAATTTTGTTGAAAATGAATTTAATCTCTATTTGAACACTTGGGTAATAGAAGATTGTATTTATTAGCCAGCTTTCCATCACAATAACAACATATTTGAGATAATTAACTTACAAGGATTAAAGATTTGAGTTCACAGCTTTGGAGGTTCCAGTCCATAGTTGATTAGCCACATTGTTTTGTGCCGGCGATGAGGCAGCACATCATAGCAGGAGTGTGGGAGAAAAACTGCTTACTTCACCAGCTAGGGAGCAAAGAGAGAGGGAAGAGACCTGGGTCCCACAGTCCCCTTTGAGGACATACCCCCAGTCGTCCAAAGTCCTCTCACAACCTACCTCCTAATGACCCACAATAGTTTCCAGTGGTGCCACGGGAGGTCCCAAGCCTGGGGACATGGATCTTTGGGGGACATTCCATATCCAAACTATTGGAAACACATCGCCCTAAAGCTAGCCCATTTTATTGTCATTTGATGCTGTTAGAAAGGTTTTTCTGCTGTTAAAGATGTATAGAATAAACAATTCCTTACCCACATGTCAACTTCTCAGATATTTGGAGACAGGTTATATATCTCTTGAGATTTTCTAACTTTCAAGTTAAACATCTCCAATTTCTTGGATATCCTCTATTTCAAACCCTTAGCCTTTAGGTGACATTCCTCTGGAAATGCTCTGTTTTGTCAGCCTTTCTTCTAAAATGTTCCCAGAATGGAATGTGATCATCAGATGAACTATTGTTGTCTTGAGCTGGACACTACCATTATTAAAACAGGCTTTTTTTTTTTTTTTTCTGGCAGTGAATCATCTTCCAGGCTCATTTTGGGCTTGCAGACAAACCTCTCATGTTCTTTTAAGATCAGCACCATTCTAGGTACTAGGCAGTTTCTTTATTGAACTTAAGTGTATGGCCTACCCTTTCATAATTTTTTTTTTCTTTTTTTGGTACCAGGCGCAGCACCACTGAGCTAAATCCCTGGCCCTGTTTTGTTTTGTTTTTAGGTCAGGGAATGTCTACTGCTTGGTGAAGGTCTTTTTAATTCTTTCACGTTGGGAAACATAGTAGCTCTGTCCTCCAGTTTTATTTCATCTGTAGGTTCAATAGTGCTTATTTCTATGCCTACATCCAAGTAACTGATAAAGGGCAGAATAAGAAAGGGTCAGAAATAGTCTTTGAACATGCTTTTCTTGAAACAGAAACCCATTAGTACACTTTGAGAACCATTGCCTCACTACAATGTATATCATTTAATCAGGATAAATTTGTTTTACTCAGAGAAAGAGGCTCTGTAAGTTAGCAAGTTCATGTAGCAAACAATGCAGAATCAAGATTGGAATTCAGGTCAATTTGACAACTATTACCTAGTTCACCAAGTTGCAAGGTTATAACAAAAACTAGATATACCTTTCCTAGAACTTCTTGGATGTTAATGTCAAAGTTTAATTTTTCAGAAATTATCTTCTACCTTTTGGAGAATCTGAACAACTTTGGCCTGTCACTGATTGTTCTGAGAACCTTAACTTTTTAGTAACTATCAATGTTTAGCAAATAGAGTTCACCATGCTGTAATACTGTTTTTAAAGTGGGTCCTTTATTTCCTTTTTGTGGGAGAAAAATTATTTTTAGTTATTACTACTTTTGGTTACTCTAATGTTGGCATTCTGACATCAACTTGTAAATGGCATTTATAGTCTATATATAATGGAAAATTTGTTGTTATTGTGTCACTGATTATTGCCATTGATAGCATCAGTAACCTGTATATCTTGTGCTTGGCTTTTTCTGGCCAATATCACCATATTCAATTAATCTGGGAAATTGCTGAAAAATAAATGTGTGATGTTATTTAGCATGTTAGCATCTGGGTCATCAGAATTTGATTAACCCCTAAAATACATGGAACTCTCTAATCTGAGAAGTA